GTAAAGAACCGGGTGATTTGCCACCGTAATTTCTCGTTTGGAATATAAGGAAATGAACTGCGGTATGTCTCTCCCAGCTTACACGTGGTTTGATTGGCTAGCGCTTGTACTGTCAGATTTGCATAAACGGGATTTGATTGGCTGACGCTTCCACCTCAGCTTCAAAAGTTGAACATTGCTCAACTTTTGAAACTTGAAAATCCTGGAAATCTTCGCTTTGCTTCCCCACAATGCAGTTTGGCGAAAAGCGAGGCAAAGTGACGTCACCCCATTCAAAGTGAATGGGCAGAAGCGTTGGAAGAGTTTTTCAACGCTGCTGTGTAGACGGTCCGTTAAACCTTCAGAGAGTTGAGAATGATTATTGTTTTCTTGTGTTATAAAAAGTAGAAATTAAATTAATTTACAGTCACAAAAACAATGGAAAGCAGCAAAAATCTGTTACTTGAGAAACAGTGTTTTTAACTTATTGCACAATAGCCTATGACAAAATATAAAATATGTTTGCTATGCTACGTTTGCTTCATCATTTACCAGCGTTCTCATTATTATGACTCCTTATCTCTCTTCTTTCCCCACCATTTCTTTCATGTTCCTGATTGGTCCTTTCCCTCTGCTCTTCTTCCTCTCCTCCTCCAGCCTCACCCTTTCCTTCTCCATCACCCAGTCCCCTCCAAGATAATTCAGCGCAATCTCAGGTTGACCGCGAAACCCTGGCCTGGGGTCTAGAAGCGACTGGAAGAAGGAGCAGGCCAGCGGGGTGAAACATGCAAACTGGGCCGCAACTGGAGGTCGATCTTCCTTTTCTAGTTCTGTCTCGTATAAATCAATGACCTCCTGTGCACTCTCCCTTTGTGGCTCTGCCCACACGTTCAGTAAATCATTGGGTCCCTCTGATCTGTCAAACCATTCCCTAAACTTCAGGTATGAGCCGCAATTGCTGGCTGTTTCAGCCCAGGGATGACTGCCGGTCAGCATGGCGTAGGTCAAGATACCCAGGGCCCAGCTGTCCGTGCTGGGCTCGACAGAAACCCAGACCCTTTCATTATTTTTATTCTCTTTGTCTTTTTTAACGGCATCACGCCCGTCACTAATGCTCCCCCAACTATCCTCATTTCCACGAGCGATTTCCGCCTCAGGGGTGCAGTAAGGGGAGCTGTACCAGACCTCCGGGACTCTGGTGCCTGTGGCCTTCACCTGGTGGAGAACATTCATTCATTTGACACTTTTCTATAACAAATTGGTTACCACAGAGAGATATGTCAAAATACAGTAATATAATGTAATCAAGAAAAGGTTACAAGCTACCTTAAATTGATTAAAATCCTTTAAAGGTCACCTATTGTGCAAAATCCACTTTTTTTTCCATTACATTACATTACATTTAGCTGACACTTTTATCCAAAGCGACTTACAATAAGTGCATTCGACCAAGAAAATACAAACTTGAAGAAAACAGAATCATATAAGTACATTAGGTTTCATAGAGCCAAAACATTTTTAAGTGCTACTCAACTGGCTTTTCCATGTCTTTTATACATAAACATGTCCCCCTCTGTGTAAAGAGATTCTGAAAGTTTCAGGAAAACATATTATGTTTGTCCTGATCCATTTATATAAAAACCTGTCTGAAAATGAGCTGATCAGATTTTGGCCACTTTATGATGTCATAACGATTTTTTGGCTTGGGTAACCATTAGCCAATCACCAACCAAGGTAACACCCGCCACCTTATCACCTGAATCTCCTCCTTTCATCTAAAGTGAAAGACAGAATCAGCACTTTTGAAACAGGGCTGAAACAGAGGGGTTTATGGGATGCTACAATGCATGATCTGTCTGGTATAACACTTCAGAGACATGTTTTGTATATATATGAGACCTATAATATATTGATGAAAAACATTATAATTGGGGGCCTTTAAACCTATAAGATGGTTTGTCTATGACTTTCAGAAAGACCCCTTTCAGAATGCCCTGCCACTGAGTCATGGCGTTCTTTTACCTAAGCTTGGTTAGTGGGCGTCGGCTTCTTAATATCAACACACAAGGCACCATTTAGCATCTGTATTAGACACTGAGCTTTTCAGGCAACACCATCCCTGTCAATGATGGAACGTTGAAGTTTCCTAATGCAGTAAAAGTAATGTATAATTTCTATACCAACCATGCCAAAGTCTCCAAGCTTGACCCAGCGGCAGGCGGAGTCGCACAGAAAGACGTTCTCTGGTTTGACATCCCGGTGTACAAAGCCAAGAGAGTGCAGGTGGGATAGAGCCCCACACAGCTGGGACACCACCCGCTGACAACAGTCCTCCTCCATACCAACCTGGTGAGGAAAACGGGTTGGGGATGTTGGAAGGAGATGGATATGTAATTCAGCATTTCAACAAATCGTAGAATACTGAACAGGAACAACCTAATTCATATAATATGTTTTGTGCTATTCATACAACACATGAGAGCTCGATTGAAATCAGCATATACCTCAGGCAAGATGACATTGTACAGATCACCAAAGAGGCTTGCTTGCTGAGCGAAGACGTAGTGTGATGGTGTGGAGTAGGCAATTCCCAGCGCTCTGGTCAGGGACGGGTGGGTGCAGAACGACAGAGAGAGGTTGTACTCCTTCAGGAAAGAGAAAAGAGATGTGGACTCTCGAGGGAAGAACTTCAGAGCCATCGGTGTACCTGGAGGACACACAGGAAAGTAAATAGTTAGTAAGTAAATCAGGTTTTTTTTTGTTTCATGGCACAAAATGAACATTGGATTCCCCATTACCGTTCTGCTTGTGTACAGCTAGCATGACTTTGCCATACGAGCCTTCACCCAGGAGCTTTAGGACCTTAAAGTGCTCCGATGTGTTCATTGGTCTCAAAGACTGAACAGACAGATGACACATCTCATCCAGAAGCTTTGTGGCAGCCTGGATACACACAGAACAAAAGACAACCATCAATATTTTTGTTTGCAGCAGAGTTGGGCTCAGGGTTAGCGTTAGGGTTAGTTGAAAGACTATCAAACCCGAAAGGTCTGGAAGACATTCTAATATGTTGACATCTGATCAGATGAGGTGTAGCTACTAATCACAACATTATTCCGGTTGTAGAGACTTTTGACTGACATTAACAAGCTAAATGACTGAATAATGCTCACCTCCCATCTAAAGCTAAGTCTCCAAGATACTCCCAGTCTCAAAAATTGACCGGCTCACAGAAAAGGAAGTTTTTGCCAGAATATATTCTGGCTACACCCCTTAAAAATGTGGCAGTGGCCTGCAGAGGCTATCAACCTCAGATGCTACTGGGATTCTAAAGGTAAGTAAAATAGGAAGTCAAGTCACGTAGTACAACAATGACCACGTAGGGATGAGGTTGCGATGGGTGGATGTGGCAAAAAACTTCAAAATAAAAGGTACTAATTTGAACCCAAACTCTTCTTTTCCTAAACCTAGACCATACGAAGTTGTTTTCCTGGAAAACAAATTGACAAGCAGAAAATAATTTGTTCGATTTTCTGGTATGACATCAAAATCCCTCAGTGACAATAGGCCTTTGACAATCGTCTTTAAAGGCTTTCGGAATTTCACAAGTGCATGAATCATGTTAGACCAGAAGTCTACATTTAACCTGAATAACCACAACATGAAATGCTTGTTTTCAGAGTGGAGTACCTTGCAGCTCTTTGGAATGTAACACGTAACCCGAGATGAGCTACGGGTATTAACATGTCCGTTAATAGCCTCATGAAATCCTGTCACACACAGACACACTGATCTTTGTTTTGTCTGGTGGTACGTCGATGTTTCCACCACAGCTGCCACACTTGGGTCCAGGCTTGGCTTTGGTGTCACCGCACATCCAGACATGGGGCAGCTCATTACAGCTCATTAAAGGACAACTCAGAAATGTGAATGTGCAGCACTCAGATACCGTGAATTCCCAGCTGAGGCATCCTTCACACTTAACAGACACAAACACTTGCAACATGTACTTGGCCACATTTTGTGATTAAATGTTTTCCAGCTTGAAATGTAAAACTTGAAAATACAAGGGTTTAAAATGCAGGGAATTATTGATTGTTTTTTTTCATCTCAAATGACTTTCTAAAATCAACTGAAACAGCAACTAGAGATGTATTTAATCTGAAAATGCGTTACAAAAAAAAATACTTCAAACCATTACTCTAAGATCACTAATAAAGATAAACCAATTTTTCAATATATTTTTTTCAAATTGCTATGACAGTGCAGCATATACTACAGTGTTATGTTAGGCGCATGTCTGATACATGTGTGAATGCATTTTGTGCGGGTGATCTCACAGGAAACTGAACTCTGACCCTCTCAGTGTTTTGTCTGGGCTCTAATTACTGAGCTATTCAGGTCTGTCTGAAAGAAATGTGTTGAACACTTGAGGTCAACATCAAACGATTCGGCTAACTGGCCATTCTTTCTTGAAGAGAGCGCTGAACTTAGTCAAGCTGTAAGCTTGGTTTTTGACATGGAGGAGGAGGAAGACAGTTCATCCTTGGAGTCATAGAGTGACTACTTGGATGATGAAGTAGAGGACCCTTCGTTTGTGACAACCAGAGGTAGACATATTTCTTTATCTTTATTTTCTTTCTTTATGAAAATGACCGCAAAAAAGGAACAGCACTTCATGATCGATTGTTTAGGGTCAAGCCTCTCATTGATGACATCAGAAGTACGTGCCAGGCTCAGAATCACCCAAGGAAGGATTTGGCTGTTGATGAAAGGATGGTAGCAGCTAAGGCCAAAACTAGCATGACTCAATACATGGGGACAAGCCCACAAAATGGGGGAACAAGCTCTTCGTGCTGGCTGAGTCAAGGAATGGCTACACAATTAATTTTAATATTTATATTGGGAAAGCACACACACACTGCACATGGACTCTCTTATGATGCTGTTATAGAGCTTATTCAGCCATAATATCTCGGCACAGGACACAACATTTACATGGAAAAAAAATGTCTAGTCCAAAATTGTTCCATGACTTGGCCAGCATGAGGTTTGGAGCTTGTGGAACGTACAGGGACCCCAGTAAAGAGTGTCCCAGTGGGCAAGAAAATGCGCTCGTGAAAAAGTCAGGAAGAGGTGCGTTGCGATGGATCAGAGACCTGGTGTTTGTGAAGTGGATGGACACACGGGAAGTGTTTGTGTGCTCCACAATCCATCTGGCTTTTTCAGGTGAAGCAGTCCAGAGGAGAGTGAAGGGTGAAGATGGACACTGGGCAGTGAAGGACATTCCTTGCCCCACCCCCATCATTACCTACAACAAAAACATCGGTGAAGTTGACCTGCCTGACCAACTGATTCAGTACAACTCCACCCACTCCAAACAGCCCGCTGGTATCGAACCCTCTTCATGCACTTTGTAGACATTGCCACAACCAATTATTACATCCTGCACTGTGACGTCAGCAACACACAAAGACATCATGGCTGAACTGGTGTCCCAGCTGTGTGGAGTAGACAGGACAGGACTGTCTATCAAGAGGAGCGCTCATCATGTTCCTGTTGCCATCACCGGGGCAACAGATGCCAGTGAAAAGGCCACACAAGGACGCAGGACCTGCCAACACTGCCATGAAGTTATCAGGAGAAGGAACCTCACACTGTGGAAGTGCAAGGCACAGAAACAGTTTTGAATTGGCACAGTGACACAGATAAGGATGAAAGAAAACAGATTTTCTTACATTTTATTGGCAAGAAAATCTACAAGAGATTGTACAGTGCAATCAGAGAGATACAGTATGTCCACGTTTTTGAGCAAGTCCACGAATCCAGTCTTTGTCAAGTCTGTCACCAACTTCGCGCAGCTGCTGGCGCCACTTCGTCCGGTCCTCCGCCAGCCTCTCCCAGTTGTCCGTCGCAATGTCCAGGGCCTTCATGTCCAGGGCCTTCATGTCACGTTTTACGACATCCTTGAAGCGCAGCAGTGGTCGTCCTCTGCCTCTGGAACCAGCGCTCAGCTCGCTGTATAAGATGTCCTTTGGCAGGCGGCCATCTGGCATTCTGCGAAGGTGACCGAGCCACCGCAGCCTCCTGACCTTCAGTTTTTGGAACATTGACTTGCTGCCCGTACGCGCCAGCACCGCCTCGTTTGTGACCTTGTCCCGCCATGTGATCCCGAGGATGTTGCGCAGGCACCGCATGTGAAAAGCATTTAGCTCTCTTTCGTGCCGCGCGTAAGTTGACCACGCCTCGGAACCGTACAGCAGGACGCTGACCACGCAACATTGGTCGATGCGTGTCTTGTGCGCTCGGTGAGGTATTTGTTGGTCCAGGCTCTTGAGCGCAAACGACTGAAAGACGTTGCGGCTTTGCCGATACGAGTCTGGATCTCCTTAACTAATGACAGGTCAGTGCTGATTGTTGAGCCAAGATACGTGAACTGGTCAACAGTCTCCAGCACATGCTCGTTCACCATTACCGGCGACGCTGCGCTTCCTGCTTGGTGCATAACAACTGTCTTTTTGATGTTGATGATCAGTGCAAATTCAGAGCATGCTGCACTGAATCTGTCCATCGGGCAATGTAGACCAGCTGCGCTGTGAGACACCATTTGCATATTATGTATTTGTTTATGCTTTCGTAAATCAAACTTTTGCCTTATCAGAATGAAATCCAATGTATATTGTTTAGGCTTTTAAATATTTTGTTGTGCTTTCTGTGCCATGGCTGACAGAACTTTGAGGAATGAGGGAAAAACGCCTATTGATACACCTGCTATTTGTTCATAACATTTGTATATAGGTTCATGCTACCTCGATCAAACATTTACATTATCATCGTGACATCCCATGTATATATTTCAGGCTTTCAAAATGTTTCGCCGTGCATGTTTGAGTTACACATAGTAAAAATGATATCTTTTTTAAAATCCGTTATTTTTCTTTTTTGTGATTTTGGGTCCAACATGTTCATGTCAAAATGTAAAAAAAATAACTATCAGGTTATCCTAAAAAAAAAAAATATCAAAAGTATGCAAAAACTTCCAAATTAGCCCCGGACTCCAGAGGTCCTTAAAACAATTTTTTCCAAAATCATCACATTTGGAGAAACTTGTTTTTTTCTGTGTTGAGGATAATAATGAAGCAGAAGATTCCAGCCCATAAGTGGAATCATTTGCACCATTTTACTGATGGTGGGAATAGAAAATTCAACAACACATTGCAGAGGATTAGTGGGTTAGAGTGAAACCAGCAAGCAGCATAACTGACAGACTCGAGGCTGATCGTGTTTGGACGAGTGTCAAAAGAGGTGACACCTGTCTTCAACAACTTCCCCGTCAGTCGCCACGTTACATAAGAGACAAATGTCCTCTACCTAGAAATGGATCTCTGGGGATTAAGTGTGATGGATGATAACATCATCAGCTTGAGAGCTAGTGAGTAATAGTAGAAGTAATAGTAGTAGTAGTAGTAGTAGTAGTAGTAGTAGTAGTAGTAGTAGGTAACATACATTTTGTGACTGAACACATTTAGAAAAATTATACGAGCATCATAGCAACCTGCTGCTTTCCTTTTGACTTCTGGTGCATTTTGAACAATTATTTTACAATAAATGTTCCACAAGTTTTTCAACCACCATTTAGGTAAATTATGTAAATGTAATTCCAAAAGTGTATTGAACCAAATATTGATTTTTTTGTTCAAGTATAGTCCACACATAAACAACATCCTACATCTGATCATACATTACTATTTAAATTCATAGACATTTATTTTTCTCCAATGTACTTCTAGTGGAGTCTCACCATGAAGATAGCTCTGCTTTTATTTGTCCAGTTTATGAGATATGAGTCTGTAATATTATGCTTTGCAAACAATTACAGAATGTTAGTTTACCTACAGTATAACATGGGGGCTCAATGCTGTGAGCACCACAAATAATATTCCATTCACCTTT